TTTATAGGTTGGAATGTGTTTTTCTTCGTTTCTAGCAGTTGGAGATGATTTGGAGTCGTTGGGGAATATTTTTCTATAAAATAAAATTGCCCAGGATAGGGAGTATTGATACTCCTTTAATGAGTATCGGTACTACATTTGTAATATTTAAATAAACTAAACGTTAAAGACCGTTGGACTTGACTAATATCGATACTATGATCATGGTATTGATACTACTATGTAAAGTAGTATCGGTACCCCTTTGGGTATCAGTACCTATTTTGCATTCTGGAATTTGAGCTATTTGAAAAACACCTGGTAGTATCAATACTACTTAGAGAGTATCAATGCTTCTCTTACCTTTGGTATCAGTAGCACGTGAACATTATTGGTACTATTCATGCAATATCAGTACTGTAAGAACAATATCCGTACTACGTACCTAAAAAATCAGTTTTGTGCTCAAATTCTATTTTAATGGAATTTGAATTATTTTTATAAACTTTTGATAACTTTGAACAAATTCAATTTAAGTCCAAAAATATTTTATCTTAATTTATTATAATAAAACATTATAAAACATAGTTCAACAACACTCAATAGCTACGCGAGACATATTTTCAAAACTGCTAGGTGTATTCAAACCAGTAAGTACTTGTGCAGGTGACGGGGAACACGTAACACCTACATCTTCATCAAAACTCCGACTAGGTAGACTGTCGCATTGTTCTCTACTTGTAATACCATCAAAACCATTAATTGAAGAGCTTTGACCCTGTTGCATCCTTGTACCTTCATTACTATATCCGTTGGACAAAACACTAACATGTTCATTTCTCTAATTGATGTGTTCATATCCCGTGAAGCTTACAAAAATTTAAAGGAAAGTAGTTTTGAGTTAGAAAAATTATAATTTTAGTCAATTTCATATTTTTGATCTGAAGTTTGTATAAAAGTTTATTAAAGGATAATTATCAATATAATATTCGAATAACAAGATCAAATCGGAAGCTTACAAAAATTTAAAGGAATATAGTTTTGAGTTAGAAAAATTATAATGATGATTTGGATCAGTGGAATTTGATATGGATTAGTGGAATTTGGTGGAATTTGCATTATAAAGTGGAATAGTTTAATTTAGTGATTAAATTGAATTTTCAAATAATTGGAAGGGCAAGGAAGGAGATTGATAAATGGGATTTTTATATTTAAATAAGAATATGAAAATGGAGATAAAAAGATGTCATGGGGGTAAATATTAGGATTTATTAATGGCAATTTTGACTTTGGGCCAAAATGAAATTTTAATTTATTTTTAATTAGTTTTTAAGACACAAATTAAGAGATATTTTACAAGAAAGTTCAAGAGAAATACTTCCATCTTCTCCAGCTGCCCGAAACCTCCATAGCCAAGGTGAGAAATTTTATTTTTCATTTTTTGATCCATTTTAGTGAGATTTAGGACTAAGTTGTGAAATAAGAAAATGTTCTACACTAATTTCTCTACAAATTGGTATAAGTATTGTATTGTTTCATGTTGAAACGTGAAAATGTGTATTTTTGGTGGATGATGGGGAAGTTAAATTTGATTGAAATTAGGTTTTGATTTTGATCATAGAAGTGTTACAAAATCATATACAAGCTTAAAAGTTATTTAAAACCCACTAAGGGACCAAGTTGTAAGTATTCGATCATGTATGAGTTTTATGAGAAATGTTAATTTTTTGTTGTTTTTGTTATGAAAATGGTTAGAAATGATTGGGAATATATGAAATTGAGTTGTAGGTGATGAAATTGAGCTTGAAACAAAGTTGGAGACCATTTGAATATGGCTGAGTCCCCAAGTATTGATACGAGGCCTCAAAGTATTGATACCACCTTAGCAATATAGATACTCTCCTCACTAACCCCTTTAAATTTTACCCATTCTCGACGAACAATATTAGTACTATTCATATAGTATCGATACCCTCGGCCCAGAAAACTCTGTTTCTCTCTAACCTTCTAAATCACTCATAGAGTGTCCCCAAAGCCCTCAATTGGTGTTTAAAGTTTATTTAGTACTTAAGGGTCATAAAAGGTCATTAATTTATGCATGAACAACAACAAATTCCCGTTTTTATGCTTTGAACCCTTAAATGCACTCAAAGTCTTCACCCTTAAATGCACCCTTAAAAACACATGTTGATCTACAAGTAGTAACTAAAGGTTAGAAGTGTGTTACTTTAGACCTAGAAGTTGTAAAAAGAACCTCAAGCTCAATCAAGCACCTCTTTCTCTTTAACCTTCACCCTTGAGCTTTCACCCACTTCTCTCACTAGAACAAACGATTTTTTTGAGACATTAGATCATCTAAAAGACTTATAAGAGGTAGAAACATGATTCTAAACATTAAAATGAACTAGAATCCTCAAAGGGTTCCTAAACTCATAAACCCCACTAAACCTCTCCCATGACCAATACTTTAAAAGAGGAGCTTGATTGGAAGCTTGAGAGATGATGATTCTATTTCTTACCTTCACTAATCTGGAGTGAGAATGAAGATTAACAAGTCTTCACCTTTGCTTGGCCACAAGAAGGAGAATGAAAGAATTTTGAAAAGTGAGAAGAAGACAAATGATAGAGGAAAAAGAGATATGAGAGTTTCTTCGTGGGTGACTTCATCTCAATTAAGGAATTTTAGCTTTTGAAAACAAGATGGCAAATTAATGTTTTGGTCCTTCCTAGTTCATCCCCATAACAAAAATACCCTCTTTAGACCATAGTGGGCTCTAACCAAGCCCAATCCACTTCATATTTGGGTAAAGGCTTCTCACATGCCTAATGGGTTTATTAATTTCCTCTCGGGTTAAGCCGAAACTTCTAACCTGGAAATCGGGACGTTACATGTTTTTTATCGCGTTAATATTATAGTTTCATTAGTATTTTTTTTTCATTTATGTAAAATTTATTGAAAATAAAGATTAAACTTTAACAGATAATTCACTTAAAACATCATAATAATCTATATAAAATTATACACCGATTAAACTCAAATTGAAGATTTAGAATAAACTCATACATATTAAGATTTTAATCTATTTTTTAATATATAAAAATATTTTTTAGTAGTTTGGGTTGATTACAAGGTAATATTTGTTTAAAATTATTTTAACATATTGACAACATAATTACACACACCCTACAGACGCAGATGTTCAAACCTAGGATTTATGAAAGAATAATATACACTTTTACTATTGAAGTCACTTGTTAAGTTCATATATATATATATATATATATATATATATATATATATATATATATATATATATATATATATATATATATATATATATATATATATATATATATATATAAGTTAAATAAAAGATAATAGATATTTATATATGTTTGAATCTAAATCTTCCAAAGATTCTAACAATAAGTTAGTAATTAAATTAAGAGTAAGTCGAATATCATAAATATTACTTAAATGCGATCCCTAGTAGCCTTGAAGATGAATTCGGTGAAGCAAATGAGAAGGCAACAAAAGAAAGGCCATAATTTATATTGAATGCAAAGGAAGAGTGTGAGTTGGCAAACTTACCTACTAAAAAGAGGAGCATAGAAAACTCAAGAAGAGGATGCATGCTAGAATTAGGGGGGGGGGGGGAACAAAAGAAAAGTTGATGATTAAGGGGAAAAAGTTAATTTTTACTCAGTATGGTGGATATCCCTTGTAACTACTACCGCAGTAATGTTCCCCACTTTCCTCCCCTATCGACTCAGCTTACACTCCACTCTCCGTACCACTTGCTTCTCCTATTTGGTATTCATTTTTCACTATTTTTTTTTCATAGGAAATATCCACTACTTCATATTTAGCCATATATGAATTGGTGGTGCTTTTTGCAGATTTGGATATTGGCTCATAAAGATACCATCAAATTTCTTCTATTCCCATAAACCCTAAACTGTGAATCCCTGTTGCTTTGAGGACCATTTCACTAGATTTAATAATTTAATAATGTTATGAATTTTTTTATAACTTTTTAGTCTTAAGATAAAATACTATAGTAGTATATGTATTGTTTTTAGTTCAAATAAAACTAACAATTTTATACGAACTCAGATTATCTATAAGAATTACATGCTACTCTTTGTGACTTAGACATTCCTCGAATTTTGCATTAAATTTAAATTTATATAATAAAGAATATAGTAAAAAGTTTTTGTATATGTCTGCCCTCGGATCTTGTCAATGAAACAATTTTAAAATATTCGGAAATTGAAAATGTCAAATTTTCATTATAATTATGCAGCTCGCATAAAAATGCAACCCACAATACTGATAAAGATGAAATATGATATCATCTTATATATAATATATTTTTTCATAAAAATATTATATATATGGTGAACGAGATATTTTTGAAACAGTAATTAATTTAGTAAAATTTTTATTCTAGTTACACTTTACATATAAATTCTTAATTTATTTTTCGAATAATTGAAGCTTCAAAACTTTAAAAACATTTTCATTTTTTCTTAGATATAAATACACCATAACTTTAATATATTTATATATAAAGTTAAAATTATTTATATAATACTCCTTTTATCTCATTAAATCTGTTTAGTGTTGATTTTTTATATCAATTTTTTTTTATATTTTTGACTTATTATTTTTTAAAAATTATTGGATTAATTAAATTTAATAAATAAAATAAAATATTTTAATTTAAGGACATTTTTTAAATCTTTGCATTTTATTATTAATTTAATTTATTTATTTTTATTTATCTAACTATTAAAAATATATTATATTAAAATAAAAAGTTTTATATTGTAATAGCCGGTTCTACTTTATATATAGATATAAACGCACCAAACTAATAACACCAGGTAGTACTATGCTGAAAAGCTGAGAATTAAAGGTTTAAATGCACGAAAACTGATAATTTGACTTAAAAGCATAATAATACTTTTAATGTTGCTAATAATAATGACGTGTCATTTAATTCACATTAACTTAAGAATGCTAGTTAATTAGTTCACCCGCAACTGAGACATTTGATTTGACTAATTACTATTTAGGAGCTATTTTTACTTCAATGTAGAGAACAGTTAAAAGTAAAAGGTGATTTGTTGCAAGGGTTCAAAAGTTTAAAACAAAAGGACAGAAAAGTAATTAAAGAGCAGCTAACGGCCGTTAGCAAGTGGGCGAACGGCTTATTCCTTGCAGGGACTTGGAGGAAGGCTGGTTTTGCCGGTGGCCACAAGGCGTTGAACAAAGCCCTCAATTCTCTGTCCGTTAGTCTCCGTCAGTAACCGTTTCCCGCCAAACGGTAACGACTCCACTCCTATCTCCTTCAGCACCTCTTCCATTCTCGGCCCCACCATCTTTTCGAGCCCCTCTCCGTTTTCCTGCAAGTTTCACAAATAAATATTTTAAATCTGTTTGGCTATTGAGAAAATCGAGGAAATTTATATGAGAGAATCATTAAACTGATTTGAAAACGGATTAATTGTTTTCTTAGGAACCAAACAGAGCATCGATAGGAGTAAAAGAAGAAGGAAAAAAAAAAAGGAATGACAGTGCGTACCTGAATTCTAACGTAGTCTGTACGGTTCCAACAGAAAGCGTTCGCCAACATCTGGTCCACCGTATCCGAGACTCCGTCAAGCGCAATGTCCACGACGGAAGAAGTTGAGCATTCACCATTGTTACTGACCTTTGACCTTACGCACGACACACCGTTGCCTAACGACAAAACCAGCAGATCCTCCACGCCGTTAACCGAAGGGAAATATCTCTTGTTATGGAGAACGTGTGTGACCGCAGCTGCAGTAGGGTTGTTCATGACCAAACCGCCGTCCACGGCGGAGCATGAGGTCTTGCCGTCTACAGATGTCAATGGAAAAGGTTTAAAGTGACTGGGAGTGGCTGACGTGGCGCGGCATACTTTCCAAAGCTCGAAGTTGAAGCTAGGTGATTCGGAAGCGTCGGCGCGAGAGAAAACGAAAGGAGCGGAACTCCTGAGGTCAAAGCAAGGAATAAGTAGAGACTTACATGTGTCCTTGAGCGTCAAAACCGTTCCATCATCTCTCATAAACAATTCCTTCAGCGCCTTATCCATGCTCTTACCGTTGAAAATCTTCCGACGGAAAAGAAATCCGGCTAGCTTATTAACTTTGAAGAGCTCGGAGTTATTCTGAGTGATAATATCAACAGCTTCCCTAGCAGTGAAGAGAGGATGTCCGGTTCCATCATCGGCAGAGATCAAGGCAGCAAGAACAGCACCGACGCCAGTGCCAGCGATCACATCGAAGAAATCAGCAATTTGAGCATGAGCATCACTGGTTCTGAGGCGGATCTGGTCTTCAAGGTGGATAAGAGCGGCACCAGCTACAATGCCGGTGGTTCCACCACCGTCAATACTGAGGATTCGAATCTTCTTGGTGGTTTCATAGAGAGATAACCATTTCTGCTCCAGTTTGTTGAAGATCTCCAAAGTTTCCTTACTCAGCTCCATTTTAGGCCCTTCCGAAAACAATTTTCTTGTTCTTTCGATTTTCTTCAAAAATTCAAAGGGGGAGAATTGGCTCGGCTCACACTTTGCTGCTGATAAGCAAAAATATAATCCTCTGTATGCTGTTTTGTTCTCTCTTTCCCTTTCCCTATTCAAAGTTGAGAGAAGAAAGGTTAGTTTATAATTAGGGTGTTGAGTTGAGAGAAAGTTAAAACCGGCAGGGAGTGAGTGAGTGAGCAAGCGAGCGAGGAGAGGAATACGATGGTTGGGCCTTTGGTGGAGCCTAGCTTATTATAATATATGCGCAGTAACGGAGGGGAGTTTTTTTTTTTTTTTGAAATAGGTTTTATGTTTTCACTGAAAATTTTATTTTTTATTCGGCAGTGCGATTCTTACGTGTATGGGTTGTCGTTGCACGTGATCATATCGGGATACGGGAAGTGTCAACCTCGGCTGTGGTTTACCTTTCTTTTGAATGGTTTAGAGGGGAAATTAGCATCCTAATCCTTCCTACTTTTATAATGTTAAATATGCCTACCATATCCTGTATATTCGCAGGGTATCCAAACAAATTTTCTGTGCCTAACTGTACATGTTACTGCTGTTCTCACATACACAATAAATAAATGTTGCAAATCTGCGTCCTAATCTTTCATTTTTAAATTTTTTTAATATCCAGTAGTCACATTAAAACCCCGACTACATCTATAATCAAATCGGATTGAATTTCTAAACAAAATACATGATTTTTCCGGGTATAACATTTGATTTTAAAATTTTACTCAAAAGGATGTTGACTTTTTTTTTATCTTTCAATTTAACAAATATTTTTATTTCATTTTTATTTGTTGTTGTGTTGAACACAAATAAGTTTCCCAATAGAGGTGACAGTTAACGATTGATTGAATCCTTTGTACACATCATACAAACAGATGAGATGCCCTCCCTCAACATTTTCATTTAATATACAATAAACCCATAAGGTATAGTTATAACAATAGCAGCAGCCAGCAGTAAAATAGAAACGTCAATTTAATCTTAATGAAATTTGGGCATGTATGGGACATACATGAACATAGAAACATATCTAGTTGGGGGCATGATTTGCAGAGAGTTGACAAGATGACCATCGTTCTCTGCAAATATGAACCGAAGGGGGCCATCATCAAACTCCATGAAATCTTGTCCATTTCCTTTAGTTTTACGGAAGCCCAAGGCACAGATAGATCTGGTATGATTTTGTTGGCAACTTGGATTCGATCCTTTTAGAAAAATTAAAGGTTGTGAGCACTTTGGTGACCCAAACGAGTTCGTGAGAAAAAAATAAATCTTGAATAACACCAAGTTTGGCCCAAATACTAAGGTATGCTTTTTTTTTTCATACCATTTCATGTGTGAATAATTCATTTGTACCATATTTCCTTTGTTTTGAATGTTAAAAAGTGGTGTGATGGCGTGAGAATAAAAGATCCTTCCTTTTGTCCTTGACTTGAAATGTGCAAGAGCTACTTCAGCATTCACATATAAGAGAATATATAAGAGAAGATATAATACTTAGCAAGTTTGGCTCAAATATTAATCTGTTGGTTTAATACGCGAGATACACCCGAAGTATTTGTCATTAGGTGGTCCTGAAACAGAGTTATTCCGAAGGTAGTATGGATTATAAATCTAAACCTTAAACACTACCCCACAATTGACCTCATTCAAAAATTCAGCTAACAACGTCTCAATTATTCAGCAATCATTAAGGCCTGACCCATATATCATTTGGGGCCAAATACTAGGTCCAGTTGTTGCATTTTGTGTAAATTATGAGATTTTTTTTATGCCTGGAGTTAAATCAGTTGAAATAAAGTAAAATAAAAAAATAAACACATTTTTAGATAAAAAGTAAAAGAATCTTGGAGCCTTCTTGAATTTTTCCATTCTTGGCTACCATTTTGGAGGAATCTCCGCTTGTCACCGGGGTGACAATGGCTGAGGATGGCGCTGGGGATAGTATCAAAAACAATAAATGTGTGCGAACCGACAAAATTGGCAATAATCAAGAGGAAGAAATTCGACCAAGATCGTGGTTAGATACTTTAGTGGACCAACCTCTTTTCACCTAGATATTTCACAACTCGAAAAGAATCGAAGAAGATGAATATGACTCGGACGAAGAAGAAGAATCAGTGGAGGACGGCATTCCAATGATCAAGACTTCTGCGGAAAAAAAAGAATTAGGAAACCATGGAGAAAAGCACTTATAATCAAACTTTTGGGGAAAACAATAGCATATAAAGTTTTGATCAACAAAATAACAATTATGTAGAAACTGACGGGAGACTTCGATTGCATAGATCTGGGAATGGATTCTATGTTGTCAAATTTCAGAACATGAATGATAGAAAAAAGTTCTAATGGAGGAACGTGGAAAATCATGGATCATTACCGAACTGTTCAGAAATGCAGGCCGAACTTACATGCCAACTGCGCCAACATACTTCCACAGCAATCTGGGTTCACATACCAGGTCTTCCTGTTAGGAAATAAACCGAGTACAAGTAATTTCCCTATAACCAGATTAGTGAGAATGCGAAATAAAAGCGGAAAAATAATACTCGAAAATTGATAACGGAGTTCAGCCAATTGTGCTTACGTCTCCGGCTGCTGCAGATCTTTTACTAAGAGAGAAAATTTACAGGTGTTTACAAAACACTCACTACTCACAAGAAAACTCTCTAGTATAGGAAGAAAAAATGTTTTGGGATGATTTTGAAGCTAAATGAGCTAGTGTATTTATAGTTGAAACTTAGGACTAAACTTGTAATTAACCCTAAAGTGTAAAGGGACTAAAAACCACATTCCCCATTTTGTTTTAGCAGCCGGCTGCTACTTAGCAGCCCAACTTGTTCTTTTTTTTTAATTTTCAACAATCTCCCACTTGAAGACTGATTTTAATTCGTCTTCATACCTCGATCGATGCAGCAACATTTCTGGTATTGTTATTCTAGCATGCCAACTGAAGCTGAACACAGCTTCAGTTTGTCCGTGGTCACCGTCTTTGTCAACATATCTGCCGGATTTTGAGCTCCACTGATCTTTTCAAGTTTCAAAATCCCATCTTCCAGAAGAGACCGGATAAAATGATATCTCAATTGTATGTGCTTCGTCCTGGAATGAAAAGACGGATTCTTTGCTAGATGGATAGCACTTTGACTGTTGCAATACAAGACATTGTTTTCTTGTTTCTTGCCTAACTCTTCCAAGAAACTTTGGAGCCAGACCATCTCCTTGCTGGCTTCCGTAACAGCAACATATTCTGCTTCGGTTGTGGAGAGAGCAACTATCTTCTGTAGTTGAGAAACCCAACTCACTGCAGTTCCTCCTAGAGTATAAACATATCATGTAGTGCTTCTTCTGATGTCAATATTTCCGGCTAAGTCAGCATCTACATAGCCTGTCAGTATTGTATCTCCACCTTTGAAACAAAGTGCTTTGTTTGTGGTACCTCGCAGATATCTGAGGATCCATTTGACTGCTTCCCAGTGTACTTTGCCTGGATTATTCATGTACCTGCTAACAGCTCCCACTACTTGAGCAATATCTGGTCTGGTACAAACCATGACATACATCAGACTTCCAATTGCTGAGGCATACGGCACCTTCACCATGTGTGCACGTTTTTCCTCCGTCTTTAGTGACTGTTCTTTGGAGAGTCTGAAATGAACACCTAAAGGTGTACTTACTGGTTTAGCATCTTGCATGTTGAACTTGGAGAGTACTTTGTTGATGTACTCAGCCTGTGATAACATCAAAGTCTTCGACTTTGTGTCTTTCTTGATCCTCATCCCAAAAATCTGCTTTGCAGCGCCCAGATCCTTCATAGCAAACTGCTTCGACAATTTTTGCTTCAAGTGTATAATCTCTTGCATATCTGAGCCTGTAACGAGCATGTCATCAACGTACAATAATAAAATAATGAAGTTGTTGTTGAACCTCTTGATGTAGCAACAATGATCTGCTTGGCATCTGATAAAACCACTACTACTCATGAAGCTATCAAACTTTTTATACCACTGTCTAGGAGCTTATTTTAAACCATACAAGCTCTTCTTCAACCTGCATACCAGGTTTTTCTTGTCTGCCTTTATGAAGCCTTCTGGCTGCCTCATATAGATTTCTTTCTCTAAATCACCATAAAGGAAAGCTGTCTTTACATCTAACTGCTCAAGATGTAAATTCTCTGCAACTTCTTTTTGCTGAAAGCTTTTGACAACCAATCTTGCTTTGTATCGTTTGCTCTCATCGTGCTCTTCTTTGATTCTGTAAATCCACTTGTTGTGGAGTGCTTTCTTGCCTGGTGGTAATTCAGCTAATTCCCACGTCTGATTTGACATAAGCGAATCCATCTCATCTTTCATGGAAGACTCCCACTTGACCAAATCCTCCACTTGCATTGCTTCATCATAGCACTCTGGTTCACCATTGTCAGTCAACAACAAGTAGTGCAAAAAAGGAGAATACCGTTGGGTTGGTTTAGGAATTCTGGAGGAGCGTCTTAGTTCCAGTGTGCATGGTTCTTCTTGAACTGCTTCAGGACTGATCTGAACATCATTTCCAAAAATATCCTCGAACTCAGCAAATTTCTTTGTTTCAGCTTCGATGTTGGAGCTACTTGATTCTACGGTTGACCTGTATTTGTACATCACATTCTCATTGAAAATGACGTCTCTGCTTCTGATGATCTTCCGATTTTCGTAGTCCCAAAACCAGTAACCGAACTCATCACCGCCATAACCAACAAAGGCACATTTGTTGGACTTAGCATCAAGTTTGCTTCTTTCAGCAGAGTTTATGTGTATATAAGAAATACAACCAAACACTCTTAAATGTGAAAGGTTTATATCTTTCTTGCTCCAAGCTTCCTCTGGTATTCCACCATCCAAAGGAACTGAGGGCCCACGGTTGATCAGGTAAGCTGCAGTGTTGATAGCTTCAGCCCATAGAAATTTGGGCAATCCGGCATGTATCCTCATGCTTCTGGCACGTTCATTCAGAGTTCTATTCATGCGCTCTGCTACGCCATTTTGCTGCGGTGTCTTGGGAATTGTTGTCTCCATCTTGATCCCATTGTTTGCGCAGAAATCTCTGAATCTATTATCTCTGTACTCTCCTCCATTGTCAGACCTCAAACGCTTGACTTTCAAACCAGTCTCATTTTCCACCATGGCCTTCCAATTTCTGAAGGTATCAAACACT